AGTATCACCCGTTTGAAATTTGCGGAAAAGTGAAGAGTAATTCCAAGGTAACAATACTAGCTCCACCTGTTCTAGGGGATTTTCTTCGTATAACCAAGCTGACGTTAAGTATGCACGCCCAAAGATCGGTGTTCCAAAAAGTAAAACTTTGCATTCTTTCCTATTAATGTTGAGCTTCCATTTCTTTGTATATATTTCAAGTTTTTTGTAAACCTGTTTGCGATTCGGACAACAGGACTAAATCGTCCGCATAAAGTAAACTGTTCAAATCTGTATTACCAAGTTTTACTGGATCACATGCCTGGTTAATTTTAAACAAATCAGGTATATCATTTACAAACATGTTGAAAACAGTAGGAATAATATTACAGCCTTATTTAACACCAACATCAGAGTTGAAGAAGGGAGTTGTTCCTTGACGTAATTTTACTGAATAGTTTACTGAGGAATACATACACGGCTAAAAACGCACAGGTTGTTGCAAGTTGATATCGACAGGTGTGAACACTGTTGTGCGGCCAACTATGAACAAGTTGTCAACCATGTTGTTCCAAGTTGTTACAGTTGAACAATGCTGCAACAACATGTTGACAATACTGTTCATAGTGGGCCGCACAACATTGTTCACGCCTGTCGTCGATATCAACTTGCAACAGGTTGTTGATTTTCTCAATTTTTACGCGTGTAGGCCTACTTAACATTAGACGTAAAAACGTTTTACTGCATCCAGATAAAATAAGCTTATAAAAACGACCTTCCCTCCATACACTATTATAAGCCTTCTTAAAATCAATAAAGCAAGCAAAAAGTGGTTTTCGTCTTAGCCTATAACAGTCCATCAAGGTTTTCAAAACTAATACTTGATCTGCTGTCCGAACATTCCGATGTCTATTTCTATGACCTATTTGGCAGTTATTCGATATTCTTAATTTTCCCAAACAGCTACCGATGCATGATTCTTCTAAAGTTATTAGGATCAGCAGTATCACCTGATTTGTGATGGGTACAATAAAACTTTCCACGATGATGGAAAAATCCCGTGGGATAAAATTGTTTTAAATAAGGGACCGGTCATTATTTATGGAAGGGGGAAGGGGGAGGGAAAAAATAAGGGGGGCCATATGTAGAAATAAATGACAAGAACGGGGGGCTATTAAATTTTTTCAAGAAAATGATGGGGGGGGGTTGCAATTAAATTTGAAGGAATTTGCTTAATAACCTGGTATCCATTTGGTTGTAAATGTTGCCACTAAATCATGGTCACTGATGTGAAATAGTCTGGATTCATCTTGTCTTGTGTGTGCTGTATGCAAATCAGATTTACGGTTTGCAGACTAGTTAAATTGACAATGTATTATTACATCAGCTCTTGATGTGGTTAAATACATTTAAATTAAGCAAGGTTAACGGCGGATGTATTATGCAGGTCACATCCACTGAGGGGAGTCTGTGACGTCATATCGACCAAAGGGGGTTGTTTCATGTGTTGTGATCAGTGCTTCGGTCTGGGTATTCATTCTGCCCCTGATTCTGCCATTGTATGCTTTGCCTAGCTGCAGCAAGTTTTGCGCTTCGATACCTTTTCCCGACCCACCCACCCATGTTCATTCTAAAAGATTTTATCTGGTAGCTAGTATATGTCATTTTATTTTATATAATTTTAAATCTCACATAAAATAGGATGTATAGACCACTATACATTGTATTTCACAGGTATGCCTTGGCAGAATTGTCATTGCTATCTCCTTTTGCTGCTAATATTACTGATTGTTGCTCTCATTGTTGCTGCGCAGCTGCTATGGCAATACTTCATACCATCAAGTCTAGTTGCAGCCTTAAAAATGGTTACAATCGCCCAGACCAAATGGAAACCTGATTTTAGTGTTATATATAAAAATACTCCTCTTTTAATTATAATTTTCCGCTAATATATATTTTTGGTCGACGTTAATATATCTTGCCAGTTCCATATTCTTATTTAATAATCAACACTATAACGCCTGGGTATCCCATGGGGTATCCCCATTTGACGAGCAAAAATGAAAATGGGGGGGGAGGGGTCAAAGAAAAATATTCCAGTATGCAGGGGAGGTCATCATTAAATTTCTGCTCTTTTAGGGGGGGCTTTCAATTTTAAAAAATTAGAATAGAAAAAAATTCCCCTCCCCCCCTTCCATAAATAATGACCGGTCCCTAACTTGGTGAAATAATATGGTAAAGTTTTAACTGCTACCTTAATAATTTCATTAGTTAGTAAATCGATAGCACTGCCACTGGCCTTTTTGTTCTTTAACTTGTTTGTTAGTCTATATATACAATTCATGAACAGAAATTGGTTTATCAAGTGTGTCATTTCTACATATCGCCCAACGATTATCGTCTTTAACAATTTCAGCTTCATAATTATTCTTTTCACTATGAATGTTTATCATGTTTAAATTCTTAAAATAGTCAAACCATTCAGAGGGTTGTATTTCATTTGATATTGTAGGCGATTGTTTTGCCTTGATTAAGTTAAGTAAATTTCAAAATTCTTTAGGATTACTACTTGATAGGTTTTCAATTTTATCTAAAACACTACTATGAAATTGTCGTTTGAGTCTTTTTATTAATCTCTTATACTCGTTTCTTTTGGTGAAAAATGTATGATGTAAAAACGGATCTGAGGGATAATTTGCTGGTAAACTACCCAAGTTCGGTAAATTCCTTTTAAATGTATGACAATCTTTATTAATTAAACCACTTTTGTTTTGGTTTATTAATCTTACTGTTTTTACTGGTTAGTTTCTTTTGTTTCTTTAGCAGAATCACGTAATATTTCTGTGAAATTATTACAAGTACATTAACATCACTTGGTTTGTTTTCTGGTTCTTGAAAAAACAGTGCATGCATTTAATTTGTTCTTAATTTCCTCTGAATTCATAACATTTTGTAATGTTTCTTTATGATTTTCATTCCACTAAAAGATATTGGATGGGAAGATAATTTCATAGCATCATTCAGACGTTGAGGAAATTCTATTCTAAACACCAGGGAAAGACAACTCTGTTCGGGGTTAGAAAACTCTTGTGGGTCATCTATCAGGAAACTATATATATGAAAGGAAACATGCAAGTCATGCGAAACAATAGCATAAGTCCACAACAGTTGCACCATTGACAGCATTGTACATATTACAAGTGAACTGGCCAATCAAATCACCTTTGGTTCTACCATTTAATTAAGGGAATCAAACTATTCCCAATATATCATAGATCAACTAAAGATCTTCCATACAGATTTACATGTGTATCTCTCGAAAGTCGTTTAGTTGACGAAAACTGGGATTAGATGTTTTATGTTTGAAAAAGAATCATCAATAATAAAATTTTCTAGGTTACCTATCCTAGCATTAAAGTCACCACATAACATGCAGAACGTTTCCATTGAGCAGAAAATTTGTAAGTACTATTCTGAAGGTGTTATCGAAATTATCAATGTCTAGTCGAATTTCTTGTGAAAAATTTTGAGTTGTATGGTTGCTTTGAATGAGTGCATTTAAAATGTTTATCATGTTCTTTAGCTGCTCTTGAATAACCCTATCTAGTCTATCACGTAAATGATAAATTGCAAAAATTGCAAAATTGGACAGCGAGGGTCATCACTAAATCTCGAAGCTGGGCTGGCATAATTTTTTAACACGTCGGAAAAAGCATAAAGCTATACTGATGTTTAAAACAATTAACGAATTAACTAACTCCGCATTATCTCCGTGAATTGTTTGAATCTCGTAGCACAGGATATAATTGAGAAACTCTGGACACACCTTATTTGTGCCAAAACCACGAACGAACTACAGTAAACGAAGTTTTTAGTTATAGCGGGGAAGTGATGTGGAAAGAGTTACCGCAAAATATACGAGCAACATGCTCTCTCTAAGTCAATTCAAAAGAGCAATTGACAATCAGCTGTTCTCTATATAAATCAGTATTTTAGTGTTTGCATAAGTTTAAAGTGTATTAATTATCATAGCTTAATTATAACCATATTATATGTTAGTCATAATCTCTTAGATTAGATTTCACCGTTCAGTTAAATAAAGCTTTGATTGATTGATTTCGCTACCCTCCCTACCTACGCCACCCTCCCTACCTTCGCTACCCTCGCTACCTTCGCTACCCTCGCTACCTTCGCTACCCTCGCTACCCTCGCTACCTTCGCTACCCTCGCTACCCTCGCTACCTTCGCTACCTTCGCTACCTTCGCTACCTTCGCTACCTTCGCTACCTTCGCTACCTTCGCTACCTTCGCTACCTTCGCTACCCTCGCTACCTTTGCTACC